ATGCTATTTAGATTCCTGAATAGGAAGCCTGCCATCACACAACCTCTTGGCCAACTTCATCCACCCCAGTCCTTCAAGATGGCTTTGTGTCAGCAAATATTTACGGGGAAAACTACAAACACAGATGAGTGTAATCAGTGCAATACTTCAAGTGCCATATTTTTTGCCAGAAACTGTTTCTGTGGCAGCTGCGCTGCAGTGATGCCTTGTAAGTCTTTTCCCATTCAGGGAGGATTAAGGCTGTGCTGCTGAGACAGAGGCTGTGCTATCATCAGAGGGGGACCCACTGTAGGAGAAATTCAGTAAACTGAGACTATCCGCCTAATTGTTGACCGAAAAGAACCACCAACGTTCCCCGCGTTCTGGTCAATCCTTTGTTTCACGTTGAACTGCGAATTAGGAAAGTCATGTAACAGCTGGGAGGCGGTTTTCGCCGAGTGTCAAGCGCTACTAGTACAGGTTATTGGTTGCGGAGGGACTGACAAAAAGCGAGCAGGCTTTGATGGATGGGAGCCCAGCACAGTCTTAGACAGCTCTGTCTGATGGAGCAAAGAACATAAGTGCCAAAGATGATCTAAACAACAGGAGGAAGAAAAGGGCTAGTGCTGTCAGACACATACGACTGCGGAAGAGAAAAGCTATCTTGTAATACCACATATAGAGAAATTCAATAAGTTCACTCTGAGTGTCAAAACATTTTGCAGAACAGACTATCCACAGAATGTGGCAGCACAAGGGAATAAATGTAATCACAAAATAATCAATAAGATAGAGTGAAAATATAAAATAAATGCTATGCGGGAGACAAATGTGGAAATATCGTTAGTGCCAGTAACAACAGAGTGCTCAGTGCCTTTCACAAGCAAAGCAGGGAAAAAATGTTTTGCGTTCTCCTGAAAAACTCATGTTGACTTAAAATGAGAAGAATACAGAAAACAGCTTTATATCAAGGTTTAGGCTGTGACTGCAGTATAATCTAGAATGGTCTTGTATTTCATGAGCTGTAGCTTGAAAAGGTATAATAAAGTCTTATTGGCCACAAAAAAATGGCGGAAGCAGAACAGTGGAAACAACAGAAGTTCCAGTTGGGAAAGATTTGGAAATGGACATTAGGCTTCCTGTTGAATCTGAGCAAATTTCCCAAATTCAGAGAATCTCAAGAAAAAGGATCTTTTTATTTTGTGAAAAAATTTTCTGAGTGTTTAATTTATACAACTATTTTTAGCTGTATCTTATTTAAGCAAACTCATTAAAAAACTTCAAATCCATTTAAAATTAAAAATATTTTGGTCTTAGATGGAAAAGATAGACTCTGAAAATTGGAGTAAGGAAGAGTATCAAAGGGACACTGAATTACTGGATTATACAAAATGTCCCCAGGGAATTAAAGTAATATATCAACAGAAGTTTAGGGTCAAACCAGGTAAGTCAACATTCTGTCAACATGTTCCACCAACTATTTACAGAATTCACGCCTGACTTGGGAGAGTACAATGCTAGGGCTGCATTACTGACCACACGATGGAGATGGTGACGTAAATGCGAGAGGGTCAGTGAAATTACATTGGCTGTGCAGAGAGTTTACACAATAACGCAAAATCTAATATGCTCCAACACATGTGGCATTAAATCAGGAAGTGACAAAAGATATGAAGCTTTTACATACCACATATGATTGCTGCTTGTAGCAAGTAATCAGACAACCCACAAGAAGAGAAGCTGATTTAGTTCTGAGTAGTACATAGGACCCAATTCAAGAAGTAGTTATCAGAGAACCACTTCTGGACTGAAAGTCAAGGTACTTGTTGAGAAGGAAAAGGATAAAAAAAAATCCACTGCAGTAACTTTCAGAGAGCGAGCAGATAAAAATTAAGACGTTAGTTAAAAGAAAAATGAAAAGAACAGCTAAAAAGATTTAATGCAAACAGCATGGAGGCAGGCTAGAGATAAAGTGTATGAGAGACTCAGAACAATCACATATAAGCCATCAAATTTTTAAAATTATAAAAATCATCTATCTTATAAACAAAAAAAACCCCCAACACCCAACCCAAACCAGCAGAATGAAGAAGATTTTGGAAAGACACCCTTCAAAAGTGTAAGTCATCTCAATGGAGAAAGATAGGAAAAAACCCCATAAATTCTGTCAAGTTAAATATAAACCACAGTATTCTGAGAATGAACTTGCTACAGACATAGAAGTTAATAATTCTTTTGTGTTAAAATAACCACACTACAAGCAGGAGGTCTCCCAGAGAGATGACTGGGTAGATAGGCAATCAAGGTATAAAAGGACTGAATACCTTATTAATTGTTTTCATTGATGTTCACAACAAAGAAGGTTAGAGAGATTCTCACAATCTGGGGAAGTTTCTCAATGTCTATCATCATCCGAAGGTGTTTTAGAAGATGTAAATAATATCGAACAGAAAGAATTGCCATGAGGTAATGTTCACCCAAAAAGTATTTTAAAGGAACTCAAATATGACATTTCTGAACTAACTACTGTAACATATAACCTGTCACTTATGTCAGCCTTGATGCCAGAAGAAATGTTGTAACTGTGGCACAGTCTTTAAAAAGGACTCGAGGGCTGATCCCTGTAATAACAAAATACAAAGCAGACAATTTTTATGCCACTGTAAAAGATCCATGTTGTTCTCCATGTCTAGAATATTACGTGTAATTTTAACCTCACGACATAAAAAAAAAGACATCACAGAACCAGAAGAGAGCAAGAGAGCACAGATGACCAGAGATGTGGCATGGTTTTATATATATACGATAAGATTAAATCGATTAGGATTCGTCACTTAGAAAACAGGTTGGAGGAGTGGACATGTCAAGTCTATATAATCATAAATGGTGTAACGGATGTAAACAGGGATGCATTATTCTCTGTTTCTTCCTATCTAAGGAGGTACAGGCTTGCCCACATAAAAACATTTAAAGCAAACAAAAGAAAATACCTTTCACTCATTGTGTCATTCAAATGTGAAATGTATTGCCATAAGATGTCACTGAGATCAAGCTTATGACCGCTGGGTCTCTCTCTCCACTAAGCAGGTAGCAACCACTGCAGGTATGATGGAGCGTCCAGCTCAGAAAGCCAGTTTATTGCTGGCAACTGGGAAGGCAAAGAAGAAATCCTTCATACTTCTTCCTGTTTGCCATAAATTCCTGCT